ATAAGCTGCTGTTTAAGGAGCCGATTCGAATCCTGTAATGGTATCAGTGACTCCAATTTGTTTGTTTCTCAGCTCTAAAAACCTTAAGAGATATTTATCAGCATAGCTAAGGAGTTAAATTAATTATATAAATTCTAACAGGTACTAGTAAATCTAGTAAAACCGATACACTCTATGCCGGAAGTCGACAGCTGAAAGCAAAGTGTGTCAGGTATATTTTGCCACATTTTGTTACTTTCCACTCTTATTAAATTTATTTTCAAACTTGGAAGGCACTCAAAGTAATTTCCTTACAGAAGAAACAGCACCCCTCAAGTGAATGTAGGTGTGTGGCGTGACACTTGTTTCTGTTACATGTATCAGTATATCTACTTGAATTCAGAAATAATATTCACTGAGCTCGAAAAAAAAATATAGTCTATCTTTGACAGGCAATCCACATTCTACAGCGAATTAAGTTCTTATCGGTTACTTTTCTAAAGTATATTTTGGAGATAGAGGTCTTTCAATCAGGCTAATGTAAACACCGTCGCAATGAAAAGTAAACAAAAATAAACCATGGTCTCGCTCTCCCGAGGATAAACCCCAGAATACGTTAAACACAATTCGTAACATCAAAAACACCAGTGAAAACATTAAAAACCGCATTGCAAACTGCATAACAAAATCCCAAACTTAATTTTGGCGGTAATCATCCCTCGTAGAGAGGGAACCTTCACATTGCGTCACGCATTATTTTACCGTTGAAAATTGACAAATTTACAAATGTACTCACTTGATCACACGTGTATCACGTATTTTCCCGCGTATCAAGTTTCCCACGACGTCTAAGGAAAACCACGGGAAAATCCCGCGTGGGGACACCTTGTCAGTATAAAAATTCACAATAACATTCAGAGACTTGGCTGAAATGAATTCTGAAGGCAAGTTTCTCCTGAAAAATTTGGGGGTCAATTGAAAAAAAATTTGCGTAATTAGATAAAAGTGGTCGTGACTACAAAGCGCGACTGACAATCAGTCAGACTGACTGACTGATTGCAACTAGTACGTGAAAACAACAGTTTTTACGAAGACATTTTAAATGTCTAATGCATTGTATTACTTTACAAGTGATTCTTAATGCAAGTGTGAATCAGATAGAATAGAATTACCTTTCTTCATCTTGCAGCATCTGAATTTGTCAATGCAGTAAAGACCATTGCAGTTGCCTTTATAGAAACCGGTCATGTAATGACCTGCCCGCTGGCATTCGCTCCAACCGAATGAATCGAATGAACTGGTAACATCTTCATCGTAACAGTCTTCATAACTATTGGGATGATTCTGGGGACGGCAGCATTGTCCCTCCTCAATATCCGACAAGAATGCTGGGGGACCGCGTCCCGGCCTGAGGCCATTCAGGTAATACCCAGCAGGGCAAAGCGCCCAGACATCAAGTCTGAAAAACACACCATCAGTTTGTGAGAGCCAGTTTGAAGAGTAACACGCATGACATTCAAAAGTGTGAAACGACAAAGGTCCTCTTTGTATACTTGGCTTCTAATGCTCCACCTTTTTAAAATTCTTTTGCACTTTGGCTTGAAAGTAGAGGATATCTCAGTCTGACCAAAAAATCTCCGCACATAGTGCAAGAGGGCGTAATTTCGTTCACCGCAAGGTTTTGGATTTTCAACGCCTGACAGACACTAGGGATGAACCTAGGATCTCTGTAATGTGCTAGATTTGAGCCATTTTGAAACATCGTCAAACATTAAAAGCCCAGTTTTGATGTACTGTAAGTGTACTGTCCTCCCGTATGTTTCAAGGCAATTTTATGTTCAGCAAAAGGAGTAAAATGGCATATAGCATGGCCCCTCTAAACAACGAGCTTTCTACAGATGCTCATTGCAACGTTTCTAGTTTCTGACTATACAGTGTACCTACCCATCCAATGTAGAGGCCCAGTTTGCGTTTGAACAAGCTGCAGGCTGAATGGCGTATATAGGTTCATCCGCTTCACAGCATCGTCCTTCTTCGAGGCGCCCCACTCTTTCGTCTCCCGGCGCCTTAGCACTTCTCATGAATCCTCTAAGATACGTGTTCATTTTGGGGCACACAGACCACTTTTGTCTGTCTAAGCTTGCCCACCAGTCTGCTACGTCACAGTTCTGGCTCGCAGCAGGCTTGAAAATCAGCAGTGTGAGGAGAACGTAAACGGTGAACTCCAAATGCATCCTGTAGCCACTTTGCCGAGTCTTTCCACACAGAGAAAGCTGTTAATGCCTACCTAAAATAGAGACAAGTAGAGACAAATAAGACAGACTTCCTTCAGCCTCTTAATATAAATGCCGAAAATTTAATTCAAGTTGTTATGTATCATCACAGGCGGATCACTCTATGAGCATGTGTACGTGGTCAATAATTGTTTATATGAAACGAACAGAATCTATGAGAATTATGAATAAAGCTCTGAAAATTGCATATCTGAATTACATCTCGGTCTGAGTATCCCAATAAAGTTAAATGAAACGTTAATCGACTCACGTGTGGTGTTTTTTCGCCTTCCTGGGCCGTCTGAAGCGTCTTTTTGCGAAATTACGGCTAAAAGTAATTTCGTAAAAAGACGCTTCAGTCTAGGAAAGCGAAAAAACACCACACATAAGTCGATTGACGTTTCATTTAACTTAATTGGGATACTCAGACCGAGATGTACTTTAGATATGCAATTTTCAGAGCTTTATTCATAACTCTCATAGATTCTGTTCGTTTTATTGCTGCGGAGTGAGCGTAGCGAGGGAGCAGCAACATAATCAGGATTTAAGAAGAATATATACAGCTGTTTCGACAAAGGTTGTCCCACACCAGCGTAAAAGCTAACGCGATAATGCCGATTGATATTATGTCAATTATGGGCAGTAATAGTTTGGCTTTCCATTTTTGAGGTTAACAGTGCTTCAAGAAGAAAAAGCATAAATATACGTGCTTGTGCTGTGTCCCTTTATAATGAAATGCCTTTAGCCTCAACCAAGCAACTGTTGGTCACCATTACCCAGAATATCTCTCGACATTGTCGCGTACGCTTTTACACTTTCGTAGGACAACCTTTCTTAAAACAGCTGTAGAAGGGGGTACGAATTCTCGAATTCATTACACACTGCGCCACTTTTTACCAGGGTGCATTGTGCCACGAACAACACGAGGATGTTACACCGTCGAGCCGTCGTCCTTTTCGCCGTCGTGGATTCCAGTGAGAAAGTTTGCTCTGATTTACTTGTAAAACGATGTGAAGGAGATCGCTTGACTTTCACTACTCTTGCTTTTGTTCTTAATGCTGCTAAGAACAAGGTTGTAAATCTGAACGAATAATTGTGACATCTTAATTTTAAACTTAGTATGTCATCAGTCTTAGCAGTCTCGCCTCCTTGGTCGAAAATGAAGAAAAATCGTCGTTACTAAAACTTGTAGAATAATTAAAACAAACGAAAACCGTAGAACATGCTAACTTCGTATATGCTGCGATCTACATTTATTCCTTTTCATCCAAACATGAATTTAAGCTAAAACTTAAGCATTTTCACACGTCGCGACGTTCGCGTCCTCGACACTGTCAATATTCTAGAGACATTTAAAGCGTACCAGTACAGAATTTATAAGTTAGATTTCTGCTCCTACAATTCCCACATCTTTCGATTTTCGCGATCTGGTAAAGGGAAGGTTGATGTGTATCGTTTTATGTCCAAACACACTTCAAATCACCATGTGATTTTTTGTCTCGATCCCTTGTCACACCTCGCCATCGATGCGTCATTATTATCCACGAACACATTGAGTGGTCCGCCTGTGGTATCATGTCCAATCGAATGCTTACCAAAATAAAACGCCGTGTAGTTCTCGGTTCCGCTGAGAACCTAATTCTCAGTCCTGGACTTCGTGCTGGCGATGAAACCTGACGGGGAAATGTTTTTATTTCGTTGGAAAGTGGATAAAGATCCTCCACGTCATTAGTGACCCCTGGAATGGATCCAGCTTTGTGCTCATATCGAGCTTATCTTTCAAATACTTATGCCGCTCTCCTGCCTTATCCGGGTTAAATGGTCAAGGTATTTTAGGCCTACTCTCGCGCCGGAAAAAGCTGAACTAAAACTTAAATGCTTATTATTGATGGAATTAAAAGCACAAATAAATACTAGCAAGCTATTCAGCTATAATAATAGTAGCTTACCGAGAATCATTACTTCGTGATTCCATGTTGCCGTGCATCTGTTTAATATTAGATCACAGATGACGTCAAAATGTGGTAAGAATAACAAAAGTGGCAAACAAGCCATTATGTGAGTGTGTCACTGATGTTCTCACACTGTTTACGTCTTTTCTGATCAATTACTATTACAGACACCCAAACTGACGATACGATCAATTACTATTACCCATACGAATTGAGGCTATTAAATTCTCAAGTAAGCGCTTATTTCTACCGCTTATTTCAGAGAGTTATGCCCCACTCTCAACACTCAAATAAATCATCAATTGTACCCCAATTCGTTTCATGAGCTTAGGCTGCCCGTGGCAACCGGAACTTAAGTGTATATCTTTACCGAATCCTTGGCATCAACTTCTTTTTCACAGGGGAAGTTGTTTGACCTTGTACCAGATATCTATTTTCTGTGGTTGTTTTCAGGTGTCCAGTTACTAACAGATTGTGCAGCAAACTAAGAAAACAAACAAGCATTATGAGCAAATTTTCTTTTCAGTGAGGATATTTTCATTTTATTGACATCAAAATCCATGCACTCATTTACAGTTTGCTTGGTTTAAATGTCAAAATTGTCAATTGAAAACAATGGCTTAGCTTTATAGAATTGAAAACAAATTTTCGGGGGAACATGGAAGACGAAGCTCGAGTCCTCTTCATTCTTTACGCCAGACTTATCCGGTGTCGATCCGGTCCGACTTTTAGATCTGTCTTTTAGTAGTCAACCAGTTTTGTAATCAAACTGGAGCGTCCCTTACAGTCGTGAACATATCTAGCGCTCTGGCTGAAAACTGCATAGGCTGATCCAGGATTTTTCA